TTATTTGACGATATTTCACGTATGTCACAGTGCAGGTTTGTGAAGCAGGGAGCATAGATGTACAGCCCAATGTTGAATTCTGCTGCATTGTCTGCAGCCGCCTATGACAACCTGGCGTGCACTGCGATCAACCATCCAAGCATATACTGCAGGCTCGGCCCTGCAATGTTTCCAGATCGGATGACATAGGTTTCATCGTGGGTTTGTGGTTTACTCCCGATTAAATGAAGGAAATTGCACAAGGGGTTTTAGATTGCATCCACACAGTAACATTTTTTTTGACAGCAGACACCACCCTGCCAAAAGTTTCTGGCAACAACAGACATGAGGCCATACACCTGCAGTGGGAAAGCCACACTTGGTGTCCATAAATTAAAACCTCACATTTTGGAGTGTAATGTCGAATTAAATTAGCTCATAAATAATGTTGGCATTGGTAAGCTTGATCAGAATATGCCTTCTCACAGTAATGAATAATAATCCACTCGCACACTGGTCTTCTGTAACAGAATGCGGGGCTGTGATCACACTTAAATGAGCGTGTTTTACAAGAAATTCGATAGGCTTTATTCAGCTACAAGTAAGAATAGCTGTTGTGTTCAAACTAGCTGGTTTGTTAATTGAAAAGTCTCCATGTAAGTGTGAACACATTAGCGTGAAGATATCGCTTGTAATTGCCATTTAACTCTTGGTATATGTCATAATTTCTAAATACCAATTTTACTTGCAGCGATGGAGCAGTGTGATCTGACGTGTTTCTCTGCGTATCCGGTCGCCGAGGATTTCTACTTTGTAGACTCACTTGCATGTGGAGTGAACGTGTTGAGCCAATTAGCCACTTCGCTAAACTTTACCACTTATCCTGCATTTGCCAGGATATTGTGGCAATGATTCCAATCCAGTGACCGAGCCCTCTTGCCCAGGTTTTCCATAACAAGCTTGCCAAGTGTATGCAATGCAGTTAGTGTAATGATTTATAGGTTTCCATACGCAGAGGGGTAGTGTATTGTAAACTTTTGGAGGGCATTGTTTTCCATTTGATTCAACCATGTGCTCTAGCAACTTTTGTTGCAAAATAATTAAATGAACAGGTTTAAATGCCAAGCTGTATTGCTTAAGGCCTGGGTAGTCCCGTCAGAAAAGCTGCCTTATTTTTCTGACATCAAGAAGACATTAGCGTCTCCCAGATTGCTGTGCTCTGCACTACCAGAGGAGGTTCTGGTACCAAAACTCGAGCGACTTGGATATGTGGAGCAACGTGTTCAACCCCGGGTTGGACATTTAAGCACGGGTCTGGGACATCCTGTTCGAAGGGGATAAGAAGGTTGACGTGTAAGGTCTGTAATACGCATTTGGTGAGTCTTCACCAAATTAATTTGCAGTGGAAGAATTTGGCAAAAGTTCCTGGATAAGAGTCGACGGCCTTTTCGTCCTTTCACACTGAGGTCAATGGGTTTCCCCAGTATTTCGGCTCGACTCAAGTGTCTGTTGAAGGCTGTGAGATAATTAAGGCCTCTGTTTCCTTTGCAGGTATCCCCGTGTTGCCTGAATCTGGTCTTTGAATTCCTTTTGCAATATTCAGTTTGAGCTCTCAGGTGCTTCTTCGCTAAATATTTAAATAGTGAAACTCCGTTTATCTCTCGTCACCATTGCTTTGGCCAGGAAGTAGCAGAGATTCGGGCCCAAGAGCCCCTCACCACCTACACCGTCAGTGCACGTTTATTTGCTTCTCTCCACGTTATAATTAGCACGCACCTCTGATTGGCACGGTTGGCTGTGTACAGTGCGAAAGAAGTTCCACATACATAATGTAACCTCGATTATCCCTTTGGTCACAACCAAGAAGTGCGCGCTTGCTTCGATGTGCACTTCACCCCGGGCCTGCGACAAAACGGGATGTCACAGTGGCTTCCCTAGTACGTTCAATCCTACCCCGGCCACTTGTTTGCTTGCTGTTCAGCATTTGTGGGACACTACCTGAGACGACATGAGAGTAAGCGCCTTTGCTTTGTGGATGCAGGAAATCGGTCACCAAAAGCTGCCCAACAAGGAAACAAGAGCTAAAAAAAAGCGAGTAAAAAAACACATCAGCATCCTCAGCATTGAACACTGCTTTGCAACGATGATATACAATTTGGGGTAATGACCCTTCTCTGAAGAAGGGATAGCATTTTTTTTTTTACAAAAAAGGGGGTGATGGCTGGAAGCAAAACTAGAGCATTTCTACTCTGGATGTTTTTGTTGTTATTCTGTCTCTCACTGTTCAAATAAACCTACCATTAAAATTATAGTCTGATCATTTCTTTGTCAGTGTGCAAACGTACAAAATCAGCAGGGGATCAAATACTTTTTTTCCCTCACTGTAGCTAAGTCATGATTAATGTGATGAGCTATTTTGTGTGCTTATGCAACACTACTGAGCCTGTCCGTTGTGTTTTGATTTCACTGAAATGTATCCTGTCACTCGAGCTCACAATGTTGGCGACTGCATCGTCCACACGCAACATCCACCGATTTTCATCTCCACCGCTTCGCCTGTTTTCCTGTAAGGATTTGGTCACCTATGGAAATTGGCCCTTTTGCTGATTCCATGTTTGCTTCCTATCCGCCTCTGTTTTAAAGGTAAACAAAGCAGGCAGAGTGGGATAGTATAACGTCACAGCCGCCGCCACCACCCCCCCCTGGCAGTTCTGGCAGTGGGGAGGGTAAACCAAGGCAGATTAACCCCTGGGGAAAGGGGGGGGTTAGGCGCGTGACGCGGCCAACACACAAATGCAGCACTGCGAAAGAATGTTGATCACGACAACGTGACTTTAACAATGCAGCAAGTCATGGAGGCGTTCTATTTTGGCGTGTGCTTTGGTGGTGCGCTTTGGTGTTGTAAACGTATGAATACAGTCATCCGTTTCACATTGCCGGAACAGAGCTTCCATACGTGCAGCATGGCACAAATGTGCAAATAGCTGTATTTATATATGAACATACTCGAACGTACTCTCATGTTCAATTAAAATCTTTATATAGCACAATCAATGTGCTGCGGTTCATATATAAGCCACAATACATAACACGCACTGCTTCGGTTATGTCCTATGGTGTTACTTGCACTCAAACTGCAAACTCCTGCGAATTGGCTCAGCAGTAAGTGTACCAACCTCCAGATTATGTTACCACCTTTTAATCCAAGTCTTCCGGTGTTAAAATATCAGCAAACACAGAACTGCGGGCGACCTGTTCGATGCATTTATTCGTATATTAATTTGAACCAAATTCCAGCGTAAATTGCCTCAAAATACAGCCCCTCGCCATTAATGTTACAGCCCTCTCGTATCCATTCATTCCGAGCTCTGCTGTTTACACATCGACGTGTACAGAGACTGTCACCTTATTGCATGGCACTCAATTAGGGGATGGGTTAGAATTGTCAACAATAAACACGTGGATGTTTAGGCAGCTGACATCGGTTACTCCCAGGAGAGCCCAGAAAGGTTCCACATGCCTTTCCGGCTATATGTGGGTTGCCACTTCTAAGAAATTCGTGTACTTGCTTACTAACTATACGGTTAGGAACTTGTTGACATGCGCGAAGGGCAGCTTTGTGCGCGGCAAGCCATTGCTGGATGAGGGCCTCCCTGTGCCATGCGGGTCGTGTGGGTTGTTTGGTCCCACTTCACGCTGGCGAGTGCTGGTTGTTGAAGGTGGGTGGCATAGGTGCCGGAGTACAGTCTAACAATTCATTTCCCTTCCACTTCTCTGTGCTGACAATGTGGATTACGGCGCGTTCGAAGCGGTGAAGCTTTATAGTAGTTAATCGGCCTCATTGTCTACCGCAAAGACGCTCATCAGCCAAGTAATTGTGGAGATGACGCGCGCATACTTGCGTACGGATAAATGAACACGCAAGCGCATCGAGTGCAAATTACCGTACTGGGCAGAAATCACTGAAGAATGCCGTTCCAAAATTATTTTGCTCTGCGGACTTGTAGTCCTGGGAATAAGCAGCCTGTTGACATTCGTCAGCGACATCAATTGTGGACGTGTAAAGCATCTTCAAATTCACAGTAGTTTAGGGCTACCAGTGATGCACATGTCCGAGTCTTCTTTTACCACGTGTTAAAGTCTGAGCTGCCTTGTGATCCTGGAATATGCTCACACTCGCTCTTATTTACGAAGTATATGTGAGCAGGCACTTAGACTGAGTGTAGTGTTTAGGCGTGGCTTGCTTACTCAGTGAGTGGTGTGAACTTTGGATATTGTCAGTTTCTCTGCGAATGGCGTGACCAAAATATTCCCATGAGTTTTCATTAATTTTACGTCTGAATGGGGAAAAAATACAACGTGGTACTATACATAATTTCAACCAAACGTGATTGTTAGAGATAATGTACATATGAATATTTCTTCCAAGTGGTAAACAGCTTTAATCAAGAGGCATGAAGGGAGCGTTGGTTGGTGGCTCATGCAGAGAATATAGGAGCATTTTGGAGGCAGTACAGGAAGGAGGCTGCCAGATTGTCTCTGCAAAGATCAGTGTCAGCAGTTTTCACCCAAATGTACAAATATTTCAATGAGTATTGTCCAAACATTCCAAGCAGGAGCCTACAGTAAAAAGGGTGTTGAGACTTGAGCCTTTTCCTGGGTTGAACGATTCACATTATAACGACAGTGTGTAACGCAACGGCGTGTATTCATGTTAGCTTGACCACTGGTTGGCAACCAAAAGAAAAATATGAGGACGATTTTTTTTTCCAATTCGGGGAAAAAAAACAATTTCAAGAGCCGCAATGCAATATGAATACAAGACGGTGGTCAAATTTTGATTTAAAGCTTTCGTGACTGCAGTAATTCATATTCTTAGTTTTTTCGGTAAAGTCACGTTGAAGGGAAACAACAAAATAATAAAATATCTTCAGGTGACCGTTTGAGTTATGGTCGAAACGTCGTGAGAATTTTTTTATTGTTTTATATATATTTTATTATTTTGTTGTTTCCCTTCAACGTGACTTTACCGAAAAAACTAAGAATAAGACGGTGGTCGTTAATAAATAATGTCAGGAAGCAGTCCTTAGAGCCGCACGTGGCTCCGGAGCAGCAGGTTGGGAGCCCCTGAGCTAGACTGATGAACCCATTTAATATTCTCTGGGTCCCATCATCTCCCTCCCACTCGGTGACCTCCCTACTGCTTTCCCCCTATCCCCCTACCCCTTCTTTCTCCGTAGCGCCTCCCTCATTCCTTAATCCCCTACTGATGTTTAGCTCCCTCCTATCACACCGGGCCCAGGATACCTCCACCCCTCCCTTTGCGTCTCCCCGCCCCTCAGTCATATGACAGCCCTGTGCTGCCAAGCCTGCCTGCGTTGGTGTGCACAGGCTATAATTAGCTCGTGCTTTTCTTTTCTGGTTCCACCCCCAGCTCCCTCCCTCTCGTGGGGAGGCTTTCCAAGCGCATGCGCTGGCCCTGTGACCCTGCATGCGAATGACTCCGCAATCGAGTGGCGTCACGGCACAGAATGTGCTGTGTGCACACGCGCGCACACGCACGTAAGCCAGCTCACTCGTTTGCTCCCTCGTTCGCTCCCTCGTTCGCCTGCTCGCTCGTCGGCACTGCACAGTTCCCCTCCCTCGTGCCGTTCATCAGGAGATGTGTCTGTGCTCCACTAAATGGGAAACGACTTTGAAAGCGGGAGAAATGTGCCCGTGTGGCAGTGACGTGACCCGGCCTCCCCGACTGTCTCATCGGTAAGAATTTTATCGTGTTGACTAAATGCTTTTATTTTCGAAAGCTGCTGCTGCATTGTTAACTTTTAAACCTGGCCGTAGTGGAACATTAACCCGAGCAGAGTGTGTTTCGCGTGTAAAACCAGCAGTGTTTCCCTACGCTTTATTGTTCATCACAGTACTCTTGAAGGGCCCATGGATTATTTTTGTTATTTGGTGCTCCTTTTACATCGTTGTTGCGTCCCAGCCTCATGGTGAATGTATCACCAGCAATGTGGAAGACTTCAGGGTAGGCTGATGCAGTTGGCTGGAGTGATTATGCTTGTGAAATTGTCAGGCAATGAAATAAGCTACTTTGAAGGATAGCCAGCGTTAAGCTTCTGGACTTGTTAAAAAAATTATATCTGTTTTAAATGCAATTATATGTAGTGTTCTATTCATTACAAGCTGGGTTGTGAATTAGCATGCTAATTGAATCAAACATTGTTGTGTAGGTTATAGCCTGTCATTAATGATCAGTTCTTTGGGACAACTCTGGTCTATCTTCTTTGGTTCTTTCGGTAAAGTCACGTGGAATGACTTTACCGAAAGAACCAAAGAAGATGAATCCTTGCAGTCACGAAAGCTTTAAATCGAAACTCTCGTCTAGCTTTTGCCCTCGTCTTCCTTTTTCATTGAACATTAGATTTCAATTTTAGTGTTTATTAGACAAAATGTATTCTGTACTTTTTTTAGTGGATTGTTGGCATGAAGCTAAGACAAGGTTCCGTCTCATCATCATCATGTTAACATTCTAAAATGTGTTTAGTCCATTGGACTATGGGCATTAAGTTTGTGCAGATGGTGTTGGTACACATGAGTACATTGGTTAGCATGTTGGTAGTTAGGCCATCGGCTGATGGATTGAAATGTGAATTTATTCGTGTGTAGTTATTAGACCCATGTCTTTTTATTTCCTTTTGTCAGTGTGTCGCAAGTAATTATTGTACACTATATGCATCTGTCAGGATAGTTAAATGATAAATTTGAGAAACGCTTCCTCTAAAACGAGGTAGAGTTGACAACTCCTGAACTAATTTTGGTTTATGATACCCATCAGGCATTGTCCTAATACATATTTACGTGTCATGTCACCTTTCAAGATTTATATTTCACGGGTGTCCGCGATGTGCCTTGAATTGTTGAGATGATTACAGTAAGGTTAAGAACCAGAAGTCCCTGGTTTGTTTTTAGGATGAAACTAAAGTGTCCTTACAGTGGCCATCGACACTCCGTTCATTTCAACATAAACCCACGCTCTTTTTTTGACGCCGGACTCAACGGGAGGTTGTTTAATGGTTGCTTTTGGGAGTCGGGACCCGGGTATTACCTCCACGAAAGTGTTTGGAATTTCTAGAGGGTGCATCAACTGCGGCCAGTTTGGGTTTAATGAACGTGGTGGGAAAAAACCCCGGGTGCGAACCTATGTCCTAATGAGGTGGGTGGTCACATGAGTTCCCCTCCCTCCGCCCGTCATGAAATTAATACAGGCCCTCGCATCTCGGTATTGGTTTCACCTTGTAAAACTCAAGGGTGCTTGGCGTGTGACTTGCTAACGTTGATAACCTCGTGCGATTCCGTGGTACTTTGTTCCGTAAACTTGTATTCTGTCGTGTTTCTATAGTGTTGATGAACTGCACGTAACTATGTTGTATTTTCTCATAAATAAATGTGAACCAGTACTACCCACCCTGCGTGTGATATTGTTCCATTGAGAGCTGCGGTTAGGTTTGGGGTACAAGTTTAAGTTAAACCAAACAAACAAAACTTTTGAGCGCTCATTTTTGTCGTCTTGACATGTTTTATAATTTGAGTGTACGTTTTGCCATTAGCTTTTCCATTTTAATTCGCACGTGTTCGCGTGTGGAGCTGGGTGGGTCACTACTATGGGATGAATCGCCGGAGAAGAGGGCCAAGGACAGGAATGGGTAGATGAGAAAACCAGGAAAGGCAGATTCCCCCTCCTCCCCACGCCACGTGAATGTGGAATAATGCTGTGAAGGAGTAATTGTTGTTGTGCTGCTACTGGTTGATGATGATGATGACGTGTTTTCATCATGTGCTTTCTTGTGCTTGTGCCGAGCAGATGGCCCACGTGCGAGTTTGATGGGAGCCAGATCCGGCTCGTGATTTACCAGGACTGCGACCGCCGTGGCCGGCAGCATCTGTTTGACTCCGACTCCGTGCGCATCGTTGATGAAGCCCCTCAGGTAATCATTGGATTGACGTGTGTGGCCACACTTAAGACAATCTCCAATAAGTGATGTTTGCGAGCACCCGGTCAAAAAAGACTATGTTGCTCGAGAGAATGTTGTGGCCGCCATGGCACCAAACAAGGGTGCAGTGTGGCAAGCGAGTGAGCATTATACTTTGGTGAGGCCAGAACTGCTCATGAAGGTGTGGTGTGACAGAGCACCATGCACGGCCACCTTTCGTCTCTGCCTTGCTGATGCCTACACACACCCTACTAAGTATACCAATTGAAGGCTACAGTCAGTCGAATTTGAGGCCCCAGGACCTGTTCAAATATTACTCTGCCATGGCCAGGAATTTAACTCGGGTATGTTGGTTCATAGCGCAGTTTGTTATGCCTCTGCCCTCCGTCCCCCACAATTGCAAGCGCACACACATACAAAGATAGTTCCGTCTTTGCAAGATAAACAGTATGTCGTTCCTTCTGCCAAGTCCATTCATATCACTGCTTGAAAGAGGCCTCATTATTAGAATTTAGGGTGTTCCATCCTCATTGCCAAGAATACATGATTGAGGACAGAGTATATAATTCTTAGCATATTCTTTAAATTTAGGACCAGCGCAATAAAAATCATAGGTACCAGTTACACATCCCACAACCAAGTTTCTTCACTGCTACGAGGAAATACACATTCTTTTTTGCAGAAGCTCTTTACAGATTTACGTAATATACCTAAATATCTCACCTATGACCAAGTTACCCAAAATACACCGCAAGCCAAGCAGGAGTGAGCCTGGATAGTGCTTCGATATTTCAGAAGATTGTTAAAAGGCTGTGGGCTGTATGGTGGAAATTAGAGCTTCATCAATTGTTGGGCTACATTTATATACTCCCATGCCTTCACCATTCCAAACTGACTGGCTTGGTGAGGTATGGTTAAATAAACCTCACGACCTGTACAGTATGGGGAACCCATCATCCAGCAGTATATTGAAGAAATTGTACATACACGCCTTATGCATTCGCATTAAAAAAAAAACTTGTTTTTGAACTCTCACTTAGTTCAACACATTCGCAGGTCACCTGGAATGTGTTGCTATCCACAGGTTAAATGGCCCCTCTACATTTAGCACCACTTAACCAGACATTCTGCGGGGGTGGGGGGGATATTTATCGCTGCCGCTACTCTTAGCGATGTTTCTCAGCCCCCCTTTTCACCTCGACTCCCCGTTGCCCTGCGTGTAATCCCACGCGAGGCCCCCCCCGCAGCTGATTGGTGTCGCATTTCCGTGTCACCGCCATCAGCTCGCATACAACATCCCCGTGCCGCGCAACGCGGGGCGGGATGCACAAGGGCAGGACACGAAACCTCACGCCACCCCGTCCCTCTCTTTAATTCTTGCTAATCTACTGCTGGTTTGACTTTTGAGAGGAATGGCCCCGTCGGAAGACCCGGTTTGGTGCGAGTGATAACCCCCGCCATTGAAATGCTCACTCGCAGCACACCTCCTTGCTGGAAGATATTGAGAGAGACTCGGCCTGGTGGCTTATTCTTTGGCTTTTGTAAGTTACCGCATGGGAATGGATTCTTAAGCTCCGGAAAGAGGTGTTGGTTTTTTCTCTAACGCTGATGGTGATGATTTTATCTTTAAAGATTAACAATTGTAAGTTTAAATGTAAGGAGATATTATTATTTTGAACTGTCTTTCACCGATAAAAAATAAATAAAATGTACAGCGTTCTCGCGTCGTGCCAGCCATGAGGGTTTTTTTTACCACATTGATCAGTGCGGGTTGGTGAAATAAGGGGTGCCCAGAACATGTTTAGATATGTTGGCTGTAGCTGGGAATCGAACTCATGCGACCATGTTTGGAGCAAGGTGTAATAACCACTGCGCTATCGTGTCACCTCGGCGATTTATCTAACATTAATTATATCCCAGAACCATTCACTTGCTAATGACGTATGGTAGTTTATCAAAGTCTGCAGAAGACTTCAACCAAAATCCGCAAATTATTTTGGTCAGTGCCTGCTATCGAAACACCCAGCCACTGTGGAAAATGTAGGATGATATTGTCTGAGGATAGACGAGGGATAAGCAGTGTTTGTGACAGTAAAATGTCAAAATAAAATGTAGATCTGCGAGAGACAGGGAATTGATAGGGGGCAGCAGTGACGCTTGATAGCGCACAATGGAAATAGCCTGCTCTCTTTTCTTCTTCCTGTGATAAGTCAACGACACTTGGGCATGCTTCCCAGATTGTTCACAGCACGTGGAATAGGACAACTGATGAGAAAATGTGAGGATGGAAAGATGATCTGAGGATATGAAATATGAGACTAAAGACGAGCTGAGAGAATGGAACAGTCAAGGCTGTTGGGTGGCTTAAGAATAACTTTCCTCCACGGATTATGGTCATGCTGGATCGTATTGTTGGATTCTTACCGTCATTAACTTTCTTGGTTATACAGTCTGCCTTAGCTGTTGCATTAATTGGCACTGATGGGTGGGGGGGGGGTATCTGCTGGATTTGGGTCCAGTCTTATGTTCATCATGAATTTGTTGTCCTTCCCCCCACACCTATGATTAGCACGATTGGCTATGTACGGTGCAAAAGAAGTTCAACAAACGTAGTACATCATCACAGCTATTATCCTTGATGCATTGTTGCTGTGGGTTCTCCTGGATAGGTGGGCCCTACTCTGCACTATATGTGTGGATGAAAAGCTACAGTGAGGGGAAAAAAGTATTTGATCCCCTGCTGATTTTGTACGTTTGCCCACTGACATAGAAATGATCAGACGATAATTTTAATGGTAGGTATATTTGAACAGTGAGAGACAGAATAACAACAAAAAAATTCAGAAAAAGCATATCAAAAATGTTATAAATTTATTTGCATTTTAATGAGGGAAATAAGTATTTGACCCCTCTACAAAACATGACTTAGTACTTGGTGGCAAAACCCTTGTTGGCAATCACAGAGGTCAGACGTTCTTGTAGTTGGCCACCAGGTTTGCACACATCTCAGGAGGGATTTTGTCCCACTCCTCTTTGCAGATCTTCTCCAAGTCATTAAGGTTTCGAGGCTGACGTTTGGCAACTCGAACCTTCAGCTCCCTCCACAGATTTTCTATGGGATTAAGGTCTGGAGACTGGCTAGGCCACTCCAGGACCTTAATGTGCTTCTTCTTGAGCCACTTCTTTGTTGCCTTGGCCGTGTGTTTTGGGTCATTGTCATGCTGGAATACCCATCCACAACCCATTTTCAATGCCCTGGCTGAGGGAAGGAGGTTCTCACCCAAGATTTGACGGTACATGGCCCCGTCCATCGTCCCTTTGATGCGGTGCAGTTGTCCTGTCCCCGTAGCAGAAAAACACCCCCAAAGCATAATGTTTCCACCTCAATGTTTGACGGTAGGGATGATGTTCTTGGGGTCATAGGCAGCATTCATCCTCCTCCAAACACGGCGAGTTGAGTTGATGCCAAAGAGCTCCATTTTGGTCTCATCTGACCACAACACTTTCACCCAGTTGTCCTCTAAATCATTCAAATGTTCATTGGTAAACTTCAGACGGGTATGTATATGTGCTTTCTTGAGCAGGAGGACCTTGCGGGCGCTGCAGGATTTCAGTCCTTCACAGCGTAGTGTGTTACCAACTGTTTTCTTGGTGACTATGGTCCCCGCTGCCTTGAGATCATTGACAAGATCCTCCCGTGTAGTTCTGGGCTGATTCCTCACCGTTCCCATGATCATTGAAATTCCACGAGGTGAGATCTTGCATGGAGCGCCAGGCCGAGGGAGATTGACAGTTCTTTTGTTTCTTCCATTTGCAAATAATCGCACCAACTCTTGTCACCTTCTCACCAAGCTGCTTGGCAATGGTCTTATAGTCCATTCCAGCCTTGTGTAGGTCTACAATCTTGTCCCTAACATCCTTGGATAGCTCTTTGGTCTTGGCCATGGTGGAGAGTTTGGAATCTGATTGATTGCTTCTGTGGACAGGTGTCTTTTATACAGGTAACAAGCTGAGATTAGGAAATCAATTTATAACATGTTTGACATGCGTTTTTCTGGATTTTGTTGTTGTTATTCTGTCTCTCACTGTTCAAATAAACCTACCATTAAAATGATAGTCTGATCATTTCTTTGTCAGTGGGCAAACGTACAAAAACAGCAGGGGATCAAATACGTTTTTCCCTCACTGTACATACTCCACGGAGAAAGATGCCTGTTTCAAATCAAACGCAGTCTTTTTTACTGTGAAGCACAAGTATCACCACTACACCATCCTCTCTCTCCATCCCTGCATTGCACCAGACGGTGGCATTCTTGTCTTTTGTAAATGAAGTTCATTGGAAATATTAGTTTTTTTAAACAATATTGGAACAATCCTAATTATTGAACCAAAAAAAAAACTTGCGTTTCGTACCCTGTTTGCCCACTAGCCACTTCTTGTGCTTACCATGTCCTGTTACAATTCAGCAAGCTTTGCGGTGTCCCAATTACAGAAAGCGGACGCCTATTTTTAACGGTGGTGCCGCAATCTATGCAGCACCGTCACCGCTGCTGCTGTTGTTGTTGCCTTGAACCATGCACAGTGGTCATGCGCAAGTCGGGAAAAGTACAATCCCCCAGGGTCATGTTGTACTGTACTTGCGTGACCTCTGCCATGGTTGGCAACGTTAATCGCAGGTGACTGCTGACACTTCGGAAAACTCCGCCTGGAACGTTCGCCCAACTGGATTGGCTTCGAAGTGAAGGTGGTTTTTATACGTTGGGTGTCTGCACCCGCGGGACTCTTCCTGTGCGTGATGTGAGCGAGTCCCTTTGGATCCGGGAATCTTAGAAGAGAGCTTTGAGAAAGGAACGATGTGTCCGCACCTGTCACCTTAAATGTCCAAGGACCGGTTAACTGAGGTGGCGTCGAGGGTGAACGCAGGGTATCCTAGTCGCCCACTTCACTTAAATAGCACGTTTTAAAAACCACAGCTTAATAAATTATAGGGGCCA